ACAATCAAGAATGGATTGGAAGGAGTAACACTGGTCTGTCGATGAGGTAGACTTTAGCACCTTTCGTGATGAAGACAGCCGAGGCAACATGAGCGAATTGACGAGAATTATGACGTCCATCATAACCAAAGACGACACCTCTCTGGGAGAGAACATCTTCACCAAACCTCTCGATCAATTGCATACATAGTCCTTGAGCAGCTTGCATCACAGTCAAACAATTGATACGGTTGAAGCCAGCTCCCATCTCGCCACGAAGACCAGCGGTACCAAATTCCATACGATGATTAGGATTGAGGCGATCTTCGATCTCCTCAGGAGTAAGCTCTTGGGCTTCCTTACGGGTGTTCTTATCAAAATCGAGAGAAAGCCAATTCTCAACTGCGCTTGACATAATAGACAGAAACTAAAAACTTAACTGAGGGGACAATCATTGTCAGTGTCATCGACTCACTCGGATTCGACTACATAAACCCCACTGACTACAACACCCATAATGAAGGCTCGGCTTTTACTAGCACTTAAGCGAGGATCAGCTTGTCCCATTTCAGTCGACATTGCGTCGAAACAAACCTTGTCCCAACTCCTGTTGTATTGGGGTTGAAGGGAACCATCCTCTAAAGTATACATATGAATCGATCGTGTACTATTATAGTCCATTCGCGATGGGAGAAAACACACACTCACCGACAGCCACAGATTCTAAACAGATGTTGGCGCGAGGAAGCCGACCGCAGTGTCGCTGTGTGTTGGTTGGTTGGAATACGAGCTCGGATCATCTCACCGGAGTGTCTAGGTCTTCACTATGCTCGCACCTCTAACTCCACTTCGGCCATTCGACTCGCTCTCAAGAATATGCCCTATGTAGAGTGTGTAACGTGATTCGCCCAATTGAGCGTGCGTTCGTTCTTCCTTGGTGGGGACAGATTTATACACATCTGATATGGTAGATTATGAAGCTGCGAACGAAGCTCTTATCAACAGCCTCAACCAGCCGAATTGCAGGCCTCGACATCCAACTACAGCAGTAGTGGTGACGTGCAAAGCTGAATGGGGGGGGGTTGAAAATGGAAGTATCGCATGTTCAACTCCTAACACATGATAAGAGTTACGAAGATAGTCGACTCGATGTGATGAGATTGTGTTATTGTCTTCCTTTGTGTATATATGGAGCTAGTATCTTAGCGTAAGCTAGCGCTACTCCGTGGTGTTATACTCATAATTACAAGATAAGTTTGAAGACTAAGTGTCCTCAACGACTCTGTGTGAGTTGTGTTGTGGTGATCAATATTATTCACTACAATTTTGGTACTGGAACCGAGAACATTCTCTTCGTGTAGATATTGTGACTTTGTGGACAATCTCTTTGGTGCAGACTCTGTAAAAGGTTACTAAGAAATGTCGATTGCCCTTTCTGAGTTAGAAGGTGTGATCAGTGGTCTACGTGATATTTTAAGCGCCCAACATCAAATTGCTACTACTCGTTCTCACTCTGTTGGTGTGAAACTTAGTAACAGTCTACAGCTTCCTTCATTTAATTGCGATGATGGTGATGACTGGCAGTTCTTTATTAAAGCTTGGGAGCGTGTTATTGGGTTGGCTGGTACTATTAGTGAGGGTACCAAGTTGGAGCTGCTGCATCAAAGTATTAAGGGCTCTGGTAGAAAAATTGCTGATGCCTATGTTAATGGTGTGAAAACGTCTTATCCGGGTCTCAAAGAATACCTTCGGACTACTTATGAGCTTTCTACCCAGTGTAGACGTGTTAAAGTTTTAAAGCGTTATAATGCGTTGAAACTTAATAGCCAGCCATCTTTGACTGACTTTAAGAAGTTTCAGGCTCAGTGGATCTTGGTTTGCCAACAACTCGCAGAGCTTGGCATTGGTCTGGAGGATAACAAGAAGACCTTGGATTTCTTAGAGAAGCTCCCGATTGAGATCAC